AAAAACAAAAAGAAGATGAGTACGAAAAAAAAAAAAAAAAAACAATTAGCAGTACGTTATACTCCAGTTTTAACGTGTTGTTGCGAAGGAATATGATATTACACACAAGATTCGCATGGTCCCCGCTGAGCCTTGAGCGGCAAACACACCCGGTCGCACAGGGGGGATCATGCGAAATTGTGTAATATCATATTCCAGTTTTAACGTGTTGTTTCGAAGGACGAATATACCCTTTTTTTTTTTTTTTTTTTTTTTCATTCCGCACCCCGCATTTGGAGATGAGAAGTGTTATAAAAAAAAAATAAAAAAAAAGAGAAGTACGTTATACTACGTTAATTTCGAGTGCCGCCCTTGAGCGGCAAACACACCCGGTCGCACAGGGGGGACCATGCGAATCTTGTGTGTAATAATATCATATTCCAGTTTTAACGTGTTGTTGCGAAGGACGAATATACCCTTTTTTTTTTTTTTTTGTTCATTTTTAAAAGGTGACGACGGCCTGGATATTTCGTCATCGCTTTTTTGACTAATCGCGCCCAGGAAATTCAGAATTGTGTGTGAATTTATTCTAGCCCTATGTATGGTGGTGTATAGGGATTCGAACTGGGGGCCTCGGCAGACCACTGTCGAAACGAAAAACGAACGAATGCATCTTCCGACTTAGAAGGGCCAGATGCATCCGTTATATTATGAATGGCAATGGATGCATCTTATCACATTCCGTGGCAGATGCATTCGCTCCTTTTTCTTTTCGAGAGTGGTGTGGCGTGGCCCTTGGGGTTTGCGTTTCAACAGTACATGGATGCGCACGAACTGAGCGGTCCGTTGGCCGAATATTCCCTTTTCCTTTTTTTTTTTTTTTTTTTTTTTGTTGTTGTTGTTGGTCCGTTGTTAAGCCCAATGGCCTTGAGATTTCATCATTGTTCTTCTTTTACAGCTGCGTGCCCAGCTCAATGGGCGTACTATTCTTTCGCCTTCGCCTAAACAATACCGTGGGCTGAGCGCCACGTAAGCAGCATACGTGAGTTTTTTTATTTTTATTTATTTTTCTACGTGAATTTTCCACACAGGCCTTCCAGACTCTGCAGTTTTAGAACAAAAAATAAAAAAGGAGACGTTAATTTGGTTTTACTCGTCAGGTTCCATCGTTTGGATTCGAACATGGTTGTGTATTTCAGCAGTTGAGTGAGGGGTGTACCTTTTTTTTTTTTTTTTCTCGATTTATGCGTGTCATCCTTGAAAACGCAGTAGGGGGCATGCTAATCTAATCTTCTTTCTCTCTATCGTTCCAATTTTAACGGTTGTCCCGATGGACTCGACATACCTTTTCTTTTTTTTCCCTTTTTTTTTAAAAAAAAGAGCAACGGCCTTGAGATATTATCATTGAGCTGACCGGCCCCGAGCAATTCATTAGCAGTTGGTTTTACTCGTCAAGTTCGATTATCTKTTCCAAAAAAAAAAAAAAAAAAAAAAAAAAAACAGTTCCATTATCTGGATTCGAACACAGGTGTGTATTTCAATAGTTCATGGGTGTACCCACTGAGCTGCAGTCTTCCCCCGAATACAACGTACGGTCATTATAGCTGAATCTGGTGTATCTTTCAGTCTATTCAGCTATAATGACCGTACGTTGTATTCGGGGGAAGACTCTGGGCTCTTGGGTTCAACACCTTTCCGTTTTGCGCAATGTAATCGAAACTGCTTGAGCTGTCCAAACTTGAGGGCCTACCCTGCCGTCTTCCCCGAACACAACGCGCCCTCATTGTGGCTGTACCTGACCTGCAAGATTGAATGTATACATTCAGCATCAGGGTGCGTTGTCGACAGTTACGGACGCACCCTCTCATTATTATGGCTGTACCTGACCTGAAAGATTCATTTTGTATACATTCATTCATCATTAGGGGGCGTTGTGGAAACTCACGGTTTGACCGTCCTCCCCCGAACACAACGCGGCCTCACTATGGCTGTACCTGACCTGAAATATGGATTGTGTACATTCGTCATTAGGGTGCGTTGTGGAAACTTACGGTTTTACCGTCTTCCCCCGAACACAACGCACCTTCATTATGGCTGTACGTGACCTGAAATATGGATTGTATACATTCATCATCAGGGTGCGTTGTGATGGGGGGAAGGGACGGTAGCCCCGTTGGTGCACACCCATGAGCTGTTGAAACACAGACCTGAGTTCGGCGGCAGGGGCTTCTCACTACCGACGTTGAGTTTCCTCAACGGCCGAATGTGGACGTGTTTGTAGAGATGTGCGGTTCAGGCCCCAGATGAACGAAACACCTGAACGACCTACCGGTAGCCAGGACGGGCAGCTGGGCGATGATGTGTCAAGGCCGTCGGCCTTTGTGAATAGAAAAGAATAGAAAAGAAAGAGGAAGGCCTTCGAACAATCTTTTTGGATTGCCGTCTTCACCCTGTTTTTTTTTTTTTTTTTTTTTCAAACACACAACCCCTGCTAGTGCTAGTGCTGCTGACACGAGCAGTCACCACTAGCACCCTGGGGTAGGCTCCATCTATTGGTGGGGAGCATCACCTGCTG